GAGTCAAAAAATACATTTCTCCACATCTATCCTATACCTGCCGATTCTGGCCCACACATGTACAAGCAACCGACTTCGATGCAGAACTCGCAAATGAAATAAAATTATTCTTCGACCATGAGCGACTGTTCTTCTGGCTCGAAGTACTCTGCCTCATCAATGCGCTCAGTGGCGCAGTCCCCGCCCTTCCGCTCATTGCCAAGTGGTTGAAGGTGAGCACACGGTTATCAAGCGTCAGATAACATGCTCACTAATGCGCAATCACAATCACAGGGTCGTACCGGATACGAAGATGTCTCGTCCGCTGCAACGGACGTGCAGAGATTCATTCAAGTGTTTGGCGGCATGATCTTGCACAGCACACTTCATCTCTATGTATCAGCACTTCCATTCTCTCCCCTCAACTCTGCACTATCCAAAACGTTTTCTGCATGGTTTCCGAACTCTCTTCGTGTAGCACCTGGACGTGATATCAACTGGACGGCTGTTCAGACTGTAATCAGCGGACACACTGATGGGGTCGGGTCAGTCTCATTCTCGCCGAGTGGGACTCGCATTGCGACTGGATCGTATGATTGCACTGTGCGGTTGTGGGATGCAGCAACGGGGCAACCGGTAGGCGAGCCCTTACTGGGACACACCAGGCCAGTTACCTCAGTTTCATTCTCACTGGATGGGACACGCATCGTGTCTGGCTCGGAAGATAAGACCGTCCAGTTGTGGGATGTAGCAACGTGGCGGGCCATTGGTGAACCATTATCGGGGCATACTTCGTCGGTTAGCTCAGTCGTGTTCTCGCCGAACGGAACTCGTATTGTTTCAGGTTCATGGGATGAGACTCTCTGGCTGTGGGATGTAGCAACGCAGCAGCCAGTTGGTGAGCCCTTGGAAGGGCACACTGACTCGGTCAATTCAGTCTCGTTCTCTCCAGATGGGACACACATCGTTTCTGTTACACTTGGCGTTGTTTAGACGTCTTAACGTTCGAAGGTTCAAGTAAAGCCAATGTTCTGATAGAGATGAAGCTAGATTGCAGGCCCTGGTCTGCGTAGGTCAAGTTAAGGATACAAAGTGTAGAGTAGCGAGTATATATAAGGTTATTGAAGTGGAGCTTGAATATGAACAGCGAATAGGAAAAAGAGTAGGAACATTGTACGATAGAATGTCATGGAATGTCATGGAATGATTAGTAAATAGGTGATAGGGTGAAAAAGGTGAAACTGTAACATTACCCCCGTTTTAAGGGTAGTAAGCCCAGATTACTACAAAATATTAGAGACGATGTGATCGTTTATAGAAAGAAAGAATGTCTGAAGCATTACCCAACTGTTCCTCCGTCATCCACTCGTTCTCGGAACTCGGGAATCCTTTCCATTTCACATGATAGGTTTGGCGACGTGCCGTGCCGCGATGACCAATAATGGCTTCTACTTCGTATTCTTCTTCTCCGTTCACGATATAAGGAGGTCGGGTGATGTGATTGGGGCCATGTATGTCGTTTTCTTTATATGGAGAGAGAAGAGCGGCGTGGAATACTGGGTGAATACGCCATTGGTTGGGGAGTTTTAGTTTATACGTGATGGGCGAGAGGACTTGGGTAATAATGAACGGTCCTTCCCGTTTCGGGGCAAGTTTCCGATTAGGGTATCCGAGATGAAGGTTTTTGGCTTCTAGCCATACCTTATCGCCTATAGAGAATGGTACGAATTTAGATGTGATTCGTTGACGCATAGTGTTACGTGCGAGTTCGTGGGCGGCTAGCGCTTCGTCGCGTGCTTTATTTAGCATGAGGAGTCTTTGTTCGATATTAGGGATGTTGGTCTTAGGATGTGAATCGGGAAGGTGTTTCGGGTGGTAGCCCATCATGAGGTAGAATGGGGATGTTCCGCGAGCGGAATGGTGTCGTGAGTTGTGGACGAACTCAGCGAGAGGAAGCATGGCGGCCCATCCCGTTTGGTCATTGGCACAAAAGATTCGGAGGTAGACTTCGAGTTCTTGGTTTACTCGTTCGGTCTCTCCATCACTTTGGGGGTGAAATGCAGTGGAAAGGGAATTCTTGTATCCGAGGAGTTTTCCGAGTTCGAGTTGGAATCTGGATGCGAATTGGGGTCCGTGGTCTGATATAATTTTATCGTAAAGTCCGTATCTAGAGAAAACTTTGGAAAAGAAAATGTTTGCGACTCCTTCGGAGTCTATCGTCTTGAGACAAGGGGTGAGAATTACCCCCTTCGAAAGTCCATGGTCTACCACGACCATGATAGAGTCGAACCCATCGGATAGTGGGAGGTCGGTGATAAGATCTACTGAGCAATGAGCGAAAGGTCGGTTGGAAATGGGAGCGGGTATAGGGGAAAGAGGAGGGTGTGAGGGATGCGTGTTGACTTTGTTCTGTTGGCATACGCTACAGCCTTCGATGTAGTTCTTTACGAAGTTTGAGAGGCCTGGCCACCAGTAGTCTCGCGATAGGAGTTCCTGGGTTTTGAACCGTCCAGGGTGTCCTGCGGTAGGTGAGTCATGATGGAGGGAAGTGAGTTCATGGCGGAGTTCGCCGGGGGGTACGTAGGTAAGTCCTTTATAAAGTAGAATTCCGTCGCTCAATTTCCAATCGGAAAGAGCCGAGCGGAGTGGAGGCGGGGTTTCTGGGTCTGTAAGCGCCTTTAGCGCTGTGTGTACTACTGGGTCCATGGAGGAAGAAATATGTAGTCTGTGCGTAAAAGAAGAATCAATGACGTTGATAAATAATGAATCAGGAAGAAGTTGAATGGATACGTTGTCCTTTTCGTCGCTATCGACCGGAAGGTGATCCGCTCTACGAGATAATAAATCGGGTATGATTAAGTCTTTGCCTGGTACATGTTGAATGCGGAGATCGAACTGAGAAAGGAAGGTCTGCCAACGTGCTTGACGTCGGTTGAGGTCTTGAACGTCTCTGAAATATTGTAGGTTTTTGTGGTCAGTATGTACGGTTATGGGATAGGGAGATCCAATAAGATAATGTCGCCAAGCTTTGAGAGCTCGGACGATGGCTAGAAGTTCTCTGTCATAGATTTGATAATTTCGTTCAGCGGGGTTAAAGCTTTGAGATAGATAGGAACATGGTAACCAGTTTCCATTGTTGTCTTTTTGAAGGAGTACTGCTCCGGTGGCATATAGAGAGGCGTCAGTAGCGATGGTGAAAGGAGAGTGTTTGCTCGGTATTTGGAGTACTGGAGCGGTCGTAAAGGTCTTTTTGAGTTTTTCAAAAGCTTTGTTGCGTTCTTCTGTCCAAATAAAGGGTTCATCTTTCTTCGTGAGGTCAATCAAGGGTCTGGCAATCGTAGAATAGTCGGCGATAAAGTGTCTGTAGAAGTTAGCAAATCCCAAGAATGATCTGACATCTTTTACCCGAGTCGGAATTTTCCACTCGGAGATGCCCATGAGTTTAGCCGGGTCCATAGTTACTGATCCTGGTCATATAATCATCCCTAAATAATTGATTTCTGTGACGTTGAATGTGCATTTTTCTGGTTTTAGATAAAGTCGGTGTTCGCGGAGTCGTGACAATACTCTGTGTGTCCGGATCTGGTGAGTTTCGAAGTCGTCTGAGAATATGAGGATATCGTCCATATAAATAATTACCCATCCTTCTTGAATCATATCGCCGAAGATGTTGTTCATCATAGATTGGAACGTGGCCGGGGAGTTGCACATGCCGAAAAACATTACCGTTGGTTCAAATAGTCCGCGGGCGGTGGCGAATGCCGCTTTCCATTGGTCTGATTTCTTCATACGCACATTATTATACCCCCATCTGATGTCCATTTTAGTGAATATCTTCGCGTTCTTGAGTTTATCTATAAGGTCAGATATGAGCGGTAGTGGGAAGTTATTTTTAACTGTGTGATCATTTAGGTATCGGTAGTCTTGGCAGGGTCGGAGAGAGCCGTCTTTCTTTCCTATGAAGAAGAATGGCGAGGATTGAGGGGATTCCGAGGGTACGATGGTCCCTTTGGTGAGGTGTTCATCGATGAAATCGTTCATTGCTTTTTCTTCTTGAGGATTGAGAGGATAGATCTTGCACTTGCGTGGTTCGAAGGAGTCCTTGAGTTCAATCTTGTGGTCGAATTTCCGTTCCGGTGGTAAAGTTCCGTTAGCTACTTCTCCGAATACGTCTTGATATTTTCGGAAGGACTTGGGGACAAGTTCTTCGAAAGTTTTCTTAATGGGTTTCGTAAATTCTTGAGCGAGAAGTTGCAAGGTGTTTGCTGCTTTCCGTAATAGGGTGCCATGTGTCAAGTAAAACCGGTGATCTGTGGGGATATGTTCGTCAGTGAGAGGAGGTTCGGATACTTCCGTTGCGAATGTTCCAAAAACATGTTCGCCTTTGATGTAGGCAATCAAGATGTCATCAGGATCTATAACATTCGTTTCATCAGTGTCGTCTTCGGTAGGTAAGAGGTCAGGGATTTCGTCAGAAAAGGATTCTGGAGTGGTTTCATTAGATGGATCCCACTCCTCATCGTTACTTTCCTTGGTGTAGTGATAGGCGTCTTTGTCTTCTACTTCTTCGATGGTTGGTTTGATGCTTCGTTCCCAAAGGTGGACTTCTTCTCGGGTCCAATCAATATCTGGGTTTTCTTTCTTTAGCCAGCTTATTCCCAGGATTGCGTCCTCTCCTCCCAATGAGGTAATGAGGAAACACGTTCGCATGGGAATACCGCGTATGAAAAAGGATAAATTACAGTACCGTGTGATTCTTCCATTTTTATTGAGCGTACCATCCACGTTTCGTACGGATATGGGTTTTTCGAGTGCGTGACTTGTGATTCGGTTTCTGATAATGAATTTCGCGTCAATGAATTCGCCTTCGGCGCCTGAGTCAATCAGGGCGGCCGCTTCGGTGGTTTTGTTGTTTTTAGTTGAGCTAATTGTGAGTGGAATGCGCATAGAATTGCAGTCACCAACGCTCTGTACTAAAAGTCCTACTTGTGGAGATTCTGACACCGGTGCAGATCTCCGTCTTAACAATCCTCATCTTCTGACTCCTCCTTCTTCTTCGGCTTCTTTACCTGGCCTGCTTTGAACACTTTCCATTCCAGAAACTCCTGGTATTCGGCGTCTTCTTTAGAGCTAGACGCGGAGTTAGTCTGGGTTTTCCTAGCAGTTGTTACCGTAGGGTGGTTAGGGCAATCTTTGATGAGGCCCTTCTTGCTGCATTTGAAGCAGAGGCCTCCCTTCTTTCTGCGTTCTCGCTCTTGGGGCGAGAGGTAGGTCTTCCTCGTACTTTTCTCACCATCGTCATCTTCTCCTGCCTCCATCCTATCAATATCCATCGCATAAGGATCACGTCCTCTGGTTTGCAAAGGTGGGTTGGTAAACGTCCTCCTGACTTCTACATCGAGGGCTTTGTCTAGCCACCCATCTAGTGTAGCGGGTATCTTCTCGAACCCGAGTATGGTGGTTACTAGTTCTCATTTGAGACCGGTTCGGAAGAAGAGAATCTTGGTGGCTTCTTCGTGGATGCCGGTGTCGGCAAGGATGGTGCGGAATAATGAGGCGTAAGCTGCTACGCTGCCGGTCTGTTTAAGAGTGGAGATTCTTCGGAGTGCGGTGTCGGCGATGTTCTTGGGGTAAAATGTATCAGTGAAGCGTTTGGAGAAGTCGTCGTAGAGACCGAAGCCTGCTTCGGTAGTGGTAGCTTTCTTCAACTCTCCCTCAGCCCACTTCGCTGCTTCTCCCTTCGTCATCCTACTAAGGACTAAGATAATTTTCTTCTTATCCTCGTTATAGATTTCGCTGTTGAGGGTCATATAGGCTGCCATCTGAAGGGACCAGCCGACCGCCTTTCTGGTGTCACCATTGAAGGCTTCAGGGATGGATCCGATTTCTTTGGGCATATCGTCGTCTGAGTCGATGTCGATAGGGGTTTCTGATCTAAGTGGAATGGGTTCAATGGGTTCGTATTGTTGGGTCCAAAAGTTCCAACATTCTCCTGCTGGTGCGAGTTTGTCGTAAAAGTCTCTCCACTCAGCTAGGGTCCAAGTTTCGTCGTCTTCTGTTTTCACAAAAGTCTGTCTCACTTCTGACCAGGCGAATCCTGGTGGGCAAATTGCCGAGTGAGACGTCGTGGGTTCTGGGTTCGTGCGCTACGTTACAAGTAACGGCGCAGAGAAAGAGTAACTTGACCTTTTGTTACACTTGGTGTTGTTTAGACGTCTTAATGTTCGAAGGTTCAAGTAAAGCCAATGTTCTGATAGAGATGAAGCTAGATTGCAGGCCCTGGTCTGCGTAGGTCAAGTTAAGGATACAAAGTGTAGAGTAGCGAGTATATATAAGGTTATTGAAGTGGAGCTTGAATATGAACAGCGAATAGGAAAAAGAGTAGGAACATTGTACGATAGAATGTCATGGAATGTCATGGAATGATTAGTAAATAGGTGATAGGGTGAAAAAGGTGAAACTGTAACAGTTTCTGGTTCGGATGATCAATCTGTCTGGCTGTGGGATGCAGGAACGGGGAAGCCTGTCAGTGAGCCCTTGCTGGGGCACACCGGTGGGGTTATGTCAGTCTCGTTCTTTCCGGATGGGACTTGCATCGTCTCTGGTTCGAGTGATCGGACCGTCCGGCTGTGGGATGCGGCGACGGGAAAGCCTGTCAGTGAGCCCATGGAGGGGCACACTGATGTGGTGAGGTCAGTTTCGTTCTCACCAGACGGAAGTCGCATTGTGACAGGTTCGGACGATAAAACTGTCCGGTTGTGGGATCCAGCAACAGGGAAGCCAGTGGGTGAGCCCTTATTGGGGCACACTAATTTTGTCAACTCAGTCTCATTCTCTCCGGATGGGACTCGCATCGCGACTGGTTCTTTGGATCACACTGCCAGACTGTGGGATGCATCTACAGGGAAGCCAGTTGGTGAGCCCACCAATTCCAATTCCATCACCTCAGTCTCGCTTTCGCCGGATGGGACCCGCTTCTCCACTGGTTTGGACGATGGCACTGTCCAGCTGTTGGATGCAGCGACAGGTCGTCTAGTTGGAGAGCCCTTGTCAGGGCACACTGGTTATATCCTCTCAGTCTCATTCTCTCCGGATGGGACTCGCATCGCAACTGGTTCTGCAGATAGGACTGTCCGGCTGTGGCATGCAGGGACGGGGCAGTTAGTGTGTGAGCCTTTCCTTGGGCACACTGATGGGATTAACTCGGTCTCATTCTCTCCGATGGGACTCGTATCGTTTCTGGTTCGGACGATAATACAGTCTGACTGTGGGATGCAGGAACAGGGAAGCCAGTTGGTGAGCCGTTAAAGGGGCACACTGATCTAGTTTTTTCAGTCTCATTCTCGCCGGACGGAACTCGCATCGCGACTGGTTCTGCAGATAAGACTATCCAGTTATGGGACGCAGGGACGGGGCAGTTAGTGGGTGAGCCTTTCCTTAGGCACACTCATCAGGTTAAGTCGGTCTCGTTCTCTCCGGATGGAACTCGCATCGTTTCTGGTTCGGACGATAGGACAGTCCGGCTGTGGGATGCAGCAACGGGGAAGCCTGTTGGAGAGATTTTGAAGGGGCACAGTCACTTGGTCATTTCTGTCTCGTTCTCTCCGGATGGGACACGCATTGTTTCTGGTTTGGGCGATTGAACTGTCTGGCTGTGGGATCTTGCAACAAGGCAGGCAGTTGGTGAGCCCTTGCGGGGGCACACTTCGGGTGTCAAGTCAGTCTCATTCTCGCGGGATGGGACTCGCATCATTTCTTCTTCATGGGATGGCACTGTCCGAGTGTGGTATGCAGCGATTGGGAAGTTACTGCAGGACCATACCGAAGGAGACTGTTCACCATTTTCCTCGCACGGCAGTTGCACCCCATATCCAACACCGGCCGTCCCTGCACCCAACACTGCACACGATGGCTTCATTTTCTACTCATCAAACCCGACTCATGCACTGCGCGACACTGCTGAGCTACTCGCAGGCGCCCTCCATAATGACCGCAGGTTGACGTTCAATTTACTGAGAGAAGATGGATGGATGATGGGACTGAATCATCGGCCCTTATTCTGGGTACCACCTGCTTCTCGAAACCCATTTTATGATCCTCGGACCGCATTAGTAATTCCCAGAGGTGGTGTTGAGCTTGATTTGAGTCGTATGGCACATGGGACACGCTGGCAGCACTGCTACAAGGAGTGAGTCTCCACTGTTTTCCGTTCCTCGCAGTTAATCAATTTGATCCTTATAGCTCTTCATCACAATAGCCTCGTTCCGGTAAACTAATTGACGGAGATACCAGAGACACTTTGTGGAGTACGATATGGAGTGTACGGTTAATGTATTGTCTGTTATACATGTACGTAGCGTTGCATTCGAGTTCGGGGTGGTTTGAGCGAATGATATGTTAGAAACATAATTGGGTGTCAGATTTTCGAGAGCATAGAAGATTATGGAGCAACAAAAAAAGTCATGTGAGAAAATGATAGGACATGCGCAGTTGGCCTGGTGAATGTACATAGGATCGAGTTCGGAAAAGCACAACAATAACCGTCAACGATATTTGCGAGCTGGCGCTGCTGAGAGGCCAAGGCCCGGGATTACATTATTTCGCCTGCATGCCCCACATTGCAATTGAGAGTCTCGTCATGTTACACCTCGAGTGGGTGAATTTTAGAATTGGTTAAAACAACAATGCGGGGGGCGTCCTCCAGCCTGGCATACATCATCTTACTTTAGGGACATGTTGTAAGGTAGACGACATCCAAATCCAGCCACATTTTGTATCACCTCCGTGTACAGGTTATTTCACAAACATACTGCACATTAGAGCCTATTAGCATGCAAGAATGCATTCCAGATACCTTTGGCTACAATATGATGGAAAAAAAATCAAAGAATATTTATTTCCTGTGATGTTATTTCGACTTTTATGAAAAGTGTCCAAAACACCTTCAGACACAGACTGATGAGAGAACATAAATTTGACATCGAGAATTTGGCCATGTCACGTGATATATAATCTTACATAATCCACTAAAAATGCGAAGCAAAGTCTACCAGGAGATTGGCTCACAAATCTCAATAAGCCAGCTATGGGTCGCAGAAAGACCTGCATTAAAAATAGGCTCAAGAACCTGCATAAAAATCCCCCTAAAGTCAAGTCCCAAGCACCAGAACTCATCAAGTCAAGCACAACAGAGCCTGGAATAGACTGTGACTCCGAGTCAGAAGCATACACTTCTGATCTTGAGTTGGAGGACAGTGAAGATAAGGTCATGCAGGAAATTCAAACAGATTCAGACCTTCTTGCCTTTGCTGCCAAACTCCAGGCAGCACATGACAGTATGGTTAGAAAGGAGAGGGAAAGACGAGAAGCCACAAAGAGAAAACCAGTCTACATGGGAAATTCAGACCGGACAAAACGGAGGCAGAGACTCGAGGGAAAGAAAATGGAGGCTGCTGGATTCCCATCCATAGTGTCATTCTTCCAAAAAAATGCAGAACCTGAGAGCAGCAAACAGGAAGACAGAATACAGGTGCGAAATAACGGATGTGAAATTGGAATATGCTGAATGATTTTCCGTCAGATTACAAATGGCAACCAGGTGCAAGGAACCAGATATGTCACAGCAGATCCGGAGATTGTTGAGACCCAACAGCCATCTCAGTCCGAACGAGTCACAGATCCACAAGCTGATGTTGCAGCTGATTCAGATGCAGAATCCGAGTTCCCGGCCACATTTGACCTTCCGGATCATCGAGATCTCCCAGCTTTGTGAAGAGCCAAGGCTGAATTGATAGTGAGGCACAAGAAAGATAATCTCAAAATGTTTATCTGTGCTCGTGTCACCAGTATGATTGCTCTTATCAGTCTGTATATTGATCCAGAGCTTGGATTTGGGTGGACGAAATGCTCTAAGCTTGCAGCAGAAGCAACTGGAAGAGGGGTCAATCATGCCCAAAATTTACGCAGATGGGTTGTGGACTACATGCAATTCGGGACACTGCCCCTCCATAGATATAGCCGAATGGGAACATCTATCCTTCAAGACGAGGACCTTGCACAACATATACATCTCCACCTCCAAGGCATTGCAAAGGACGGCTATGTGAAAGCACAAGACATTGTGGATATTATGGCAACTGCAGAGATGAAACAGTACCTAGGCTTGAAGACTGGCATCACCATTCGGACAGGTCAGTGTTGGCTGCATAAGATGGATTGGAGATACAGGAAGGCAACAAAATGAATGTACATTGATGGCCACGAGCGGGCTGATGTTGTCGAATATCGGAAAGGATTTTTGAGCCGCATGAACGAGTATTCAAAACGGATGACAACTTACGATCACAATGGAAATGTCCTATCCCTGCCCACTGGAATTGATCTTGCTGCTGGAATCTACCCACTTGTCAAAGTGACCCAGGACGAATCTACATTCACGATGCATGATAGACGACAGACGAAATGGGACCACAAAGACACAAAGCAACCAGAGGTGAAGGGTGAAGGGCCCTCATTGATGGTTTCAGGCATGTTGACTGAAGAATGGGGAGAGTTGAGGCATGGCAACAGGTGCGTTGAAGATTTACCATCATTCCCAATTGTAACTTTGCCTCCGCAGTGAATCCCGAGTGCTGTTTAAGCCGGGTAAAAATCGAGACGGATACTTCACCAACGATGACCTTGTGAAACAAGTTGATAATGCAATTGATATCTTCAAGGAGAAGACTCACGGTTTCAAACGAGCCCTGTTCTTGTTTGACAATGCAACGTCGCATCAGAAACGGGCACCTGATGCCCCGAGTGCAAGAAAGATGGTGAAAAACCCAAAGCTTGGGTGGACGTGTCACCCAAATGGACCAAAAATGCGGAATACAACCTTGCAAGATGGAACACAACAAAACCTTTACTTTCCAGATGATCACCCCACAATGCCTGGGTGGTTCAAAGGCATGCAAGTCATTCTGGATGAGCGTGGACTCTGGCGAGCAGGGCTTCGTGCAGAATGCAAAGACTTCAAATGCGCCGATGGTGCCATTGATTGTTGCTGTCGTCGCACATTGTTCAATCAACCTGACGTTCAGAACGTCAAATCACATCTCGAAGAACTCATCACTGCACGTGGACATCTGTGTGACTTCTATCCCAAGTTCCACTGCAAGCTCAATTTTATTGAGCAATATTGGGGTGCTGTCAAGCTTCTGTATCGCTCGGGTCCTCGGGTCCACAAGATGGAAGATATGGAAAAGCATGTCAGTGCATGTCTTGATGATATTCCATTATTGCAGATCCGAAGGTAAGCTTGAAACAATCTTCAGCCAAACAACCACATCTAACGGCGCTGTCTCCAGGTATGCAAATTGTTCTGCAAGGTTCATGGATGCATATACCAAGGGTCTTACAGGGCCACAAGCAGTTTGGGCGACGAGGAAATATCACAGACATCGAGTCGTTCCGAATTCTATTTTGGAGGCTTTAGACACAGCGGGAAAGATATGATTGACTACAGCGTATATGATTTTGACAAGGCAACGGCAAAAGAAAAGATTGCAACTGGCAGATTTGGCCGTGGGAACATGACATAAGCAATGCGGTGCAGTGGTTGAATCAAAATGTTGTCTACCTTATTGAATTCAAACTGTGAAAAGTTGGCATGGCATTTTTCGCCTCGTCATAGCCGCGTCAACGGTGCATCACAACCGATGCAGGATAGGTTCTACCGCAGTATCATCCGCCAAGCATATCCATTTTGCAAAACCTTCACATGATAACATAAATGCAAGTCATTTTGCTACCGTCACCAGCATCCACCCACCTCAAAGAAATCATTTGAGCACCTCCGAGTCAACCATACCACTATGGAAAGCGGGAGTGATCAGCTTCGTATTTGCTTCGCTAAGCGTGTTTGTTTGGCTTTTACCTGTCAGACCCCCAACCACTGCTTGAGAGAGACTTAATATTAATGTTTCTAGTGATATATTCAAGATGTATTGCTTGTCAAATTGTGAGTCCTCCAATGGTTACAGATAGTAACTCAGGTGCTGATCGTACCTTAATGCAATGACAGCGCAATCTGTGACGGAATTCAAAACAACTCGAACGTTCAAGTTGATGAGTGCAGGATTGTGCTCCCAACATTATGACTGATTGTTCTCGGCACACCAACCAGCATAAGCCATGTCGTGAGTGTTAAGCCTGAATCACTGCCAGTTTCACTTATTTTTGAGCGAGCATAGCTCCTGCCAGGGAAATACAAGATCCGGCTCAGTTTTATTTCAAGCTCAACATGAGTGATGTTGACATCGTGCACCACCTCAAAGACCATTATGACCAGGAGGAATATGGACTCAGGTTCGTGTCTTACATATGTCCAGTGCAACTACTTCAACTAATTTATCATGCTAGCGTTGTCAGCTTTCGTCGGATGCGAAATAGCTGGGGCTGGAAACGGACCAGGCAACAACAACATACTCTCGAGTCCATCAAACAGCATGTCCGGGAGATTCGACAACAATTTCCCCACCGAGGTGCCGAGGCCATCAGACGAGACCTGCGCCAGCAGTTCAGCTTTCACGTACCCTGGTGAGTTGCTGTCTACTTGGTAGTACTGTTCACTATAAATCGATGTTTGAACAGTGAACTGATCGCCAAGCTTCTCAAGATCACAGAGCCAACTGCTGTGGAAGCTAGGCGTCGTGGACGTCTCAAACGGAGGCATTTTTGGTGTGCGGGGGTTAATGATGTCTGGCCCCAAGACCAGCACAACAAATGGCTGCGCTTTGGGTTATGGCTGCATATCAGCCTCGATCCATTCACTGGCTGGATTAATTGGCTGAAAGTTTGGTGGACCAACAAGAATCCACGCCTTATTGCTAGATACTACCTTGACTGTTGCCGAAAACTCGGAGGTATGTCACCAAGCCCCTCACATTGATCGGACATTGATCATGTCATTTTTTTTGTGATCTCAGCTGTACCTTTGATCACTCAGAGCGATCCAGGCTCCGAAAATTTTGCTGTTGCCAATGCACAAACAATGATTCGACACCGCCTAGATCCAGCACTCAACGGAACACTTCAGCACCGCTGGATGCGAAAGCACCAGAACATCAAGCCCGAAATCATGTGGTCTGTGCTTCGCAGGGACTTTGCTCCAGGTTTCGAGAATATCCTGGAGGAAGGTGTCACTAGGGGA